AAAAATTATAATTATAAAAAATAATTAAATAATAAATAAATAAGTTATAAATTAAATTAAATATTTTAATAAATATATAAAGCTTTATATAAAAGAATATTATTACTTTTTTTTTAATAGTTATAAAAGTTATTATTTATATAATTTTAAATTATATTTATAAAAAAAATAATATTATTACCCTTTATATATTTCCTTATTTTTTTATTATTTTTAATTATTTAATATTAAAGTATTTAACCTTTTAAAATAATTATATAAAAAGTAAATTAAAGGTTTTATATAAATATATATTATTTATATTTAAAAGGAAGATTTTATAATTATATTCTTTTATATATTTAATAAAATAATTATTTTAAATAATATATAAAAGGGATTTAAAGGAATAAGTTTAATATTATATAATTTAAATTATATTATTAATTAATTAAATTATTTAATTATACTTTAAATTAACCCTTTATTCCTAATATTATTTAATCTTTATATAATTATAACTTTAAATAATTTAATTAAAGTTAATTTCCTTTTTAAATATATTAAATAAAGGATTATATAATATTAAAATAATTTTTCTATATTTATTATTAAAGGGTTAAGTTAAATTATATATAATATAATTAATATTACATATTATTTTATATTATTAAAAGGGAAGGTTAAAAGCTTTTATAAAATAAATTATAAGTTTAATAAATATTATTATATAAAAAGAATTAAATTATAAAGTAAAGGATCTTTTATTATTAAAGATATTAAGGATTAAATAAAGGTATAAGGTATTTTTAAAGTAAAAAATTACATTATATATTAAATTAATTATTATATAAAAAGGAAGAAGATTTATACTTAATATTATAAAGCTTATAATAAACCTAATTATAATATATAAACTTATAAAAATATTATAAAAATGTTTAACAATTTAGATTTAAATTAGTTTAAGTTAATTATATAAATAGTTATTAAGATATTTTTAAATATGTATACGAAGGTTAAAAATGTGGCCAGGTTAATTGGGTAGCTAGGTTAAGTGGAAGATGCGTTAAATTAATTAAATAATTAAATTAAATAGGAGATATATTATATTTACTTATATAAAGTTATTAATATAATTATAAGTTAATTATAACACTATTATATATATAATGCTACTTATAGTTAGGGCGACTAGTGTGGGTCAAGTGATAGTTATATTGACAAGATATGGCGTCCCAGGGTGAATGCTCCCATCGCAGCATCGGAGTTTAAATCACCCCGGGCCTAACTTCCAAAATCGACACACCAGTGTAATACACCTCGCTATGGCGGTTTTCGTCGTAGCGTGCATTGAAAAGTAGCCTGTGCAGCGAGGAAGCACTTGGCCAACACCTGACCACCTTTAACGTGCTAGCCGATGGCGCTTCTCCTGGCCTGGTGGTGGAGGTAGCGTTTTGGGTGAACTCACCCCTTTCCTTAAGTCTGGATCTGCATCTAGTTCCCAGACCGTATGCTCCTTGCTTACGTGATTTACCAGTGTTGGGACACTTCTACATACAATGTCGATTTCACCATACCGCCTGCACAACACACAGGCACTGTAACCCACTAGTTAGTATCTACTACCACCCATGAACGAGGGGCTGCTTGTACTTGGACAAGAAGTTTGGATTTGCTACTTACTATTCTCCCCTCCCCGTGTGACATTTCACAATGAATCGTTGCCCCAGGTCGAAGTGGTATTCCTTCGTAGGGTCTCCTTTGCTATCATGGGCATTAGCCGCTGCCCTCTTCTCGATATGCCAATACGTGTCTGGTGTTTCTGGGTCTAGTTGAACTCCGCAATAATGGCAGCGACCGTCTCCCCCCGGGGAAAACGATGCCGACAGTGGTAGTCCGGGCGTGGCCTGTAGAGTTAAACTATATTTACAAAAAAGCTCTCCCATTCCCACATCTATGGTGGAATGACTGGTGCTAGTTAGGCTTCTGGGCTGTGGTGGCGATGCCTCGAAACTAAGACGTTGGTACTGTTGGCGTAGTGCATCTAGAGATCCGTTACGAGCTGCCAAGGAGGCTGCAATGAGTCGTTGAACATCCCCATGAGATAATGATTGGCGATTCACTAACGCCTCCTGCACTGCTCGGCCGTGTTAGTCATGTGGGTTACATTACATTGACGACTTGCTGACACGATATCCTCATTTTTGTATGGGGTGAAGTTATGCCACATATCCGATGCGGATTACTAGCCCATGGGGGCGAATGAAGGATAGTGATGATATAGCCCTTGCTGGCAACATACAAACGTCTATGACTGTTCTCTGAACTATAGACAGTTGTAGTCAGTAATCAGTTCAAACTTAGGTGAAGTTTCCCTTGTGGGTGGGCAGTGGTCGATGTTACTCGGCCATCGTAGAGAAAGGTATATTTGCAGTAAAAGCTCGTGTCAACGAAGAGATACACGTACGTGTGATAATCTGGGCTTGAAGCTGATTCTCGGTTATGACTGCTGATAGGGTCAGGGCGAGGATTGCCATGTATTATTTCTCGCACCAAGGCTGACTCACGATCACCCATAGCGAAACGTTTCCCTAAGCGTCCCGCCCCGTCATTGTATTCCTGCCGAACTAGAGCCTCGGACCTCGCCAACGAGAGGCCTAGAGCCTCTCCGTCATCATCATCGGTACCCTTATCTTGCACCCGGCGATTGTTGTCAGCCTCTGGCTTCTGGCTGCGCTTATCTACTTGGGCAATCTGCTCCTTGAGCTGACGGATTTCGTCATCCTGGAAGGTCATTAGCAAGGGAGCCATAATCGAGAATTAGTAGTGCTGTGACCTGTTTCGAGTCCTTCTTTTTCTGTTTTCTTCTCTCGCTCATGCGATCCCAAAGATTGATCGAGGCCGAGAAGGTGTTGATCAGAGTAGAACAGAGACTTGCTACTACGAATGTGCTCTAGGGTTCCTCGTCGATTAGCGAGAGTTTCACCGAATATACCACACCCCGGAGGATTCGTTACCTTGAGCCTCTTCTCCTCGATCATGCCAGCTAAGCTCCATGGATTGGACATATTCACGGACACACGCACTGCTTGCTGTTGCTCTTGTCAATGATGCGTTCGGAAGCAAGACTTAATCATCGAGTTTAACTGAACCAGGCAGTTATGCACAGCACGACTGGATATTAAATGAGACTGTCACTAACCCAAGCGTCAAGGGGGAAAGCGCTATCGTGCTGCTTCTCAAGTGGGAAATCGGAAGGGTGTGTGGAGAAGGCATCGCGGGATTTATTTGTATAGAGCACAACTTGAGGTCGGATTGGCGCGATATCCGAACATATAATCGAGCTGTTATCGACTCTCTGATTGTCTAAGATTACGCTGGTGGTTTTAAATGGGTGACACGACAGGCTCCTCTCCAGTGCTTCGGAATAAAAGATGTCACACTCCCATGCGTGATTGGCTGGTGTAGCTTTATTCCCGACTACAGTTTCCAACGGCAGACTGATAGAAAACACCTATCTACATATCTCGTAGCAACGTACTCGCAACTGTTCTCACCGACGTACTTAGAGTTCGCTGGCTACTAGTTGCTACTTCGTAGAACTCTTCAATGGATGCACTGGTCCACGTAATTATATGCTAGAACGGGAGCAGGTCTGAAAAGTCATGCTCGTCAAGTTCTGGCATGGCTTAGAGCGTCGAAGTGTGATGTTAGGCAACCCTACCCGATGCGCGATGGAAAGCTCCTTGGGGTTGCACAGCATCATCTCAAGTCAGGTCAGGCCAGTTAGGCATCCCTATCATCAGCCCTCGTTGAACACCCAATACAGATAATACCCCTTGTCTATCGCGTCTCGCCGCCTGCCGCATGTTGCATAACAAACCAGGCATGCCATCACCCCATGAGCTATAATGCAGATTCAACCTTTGGGTTTTAATGTAGTGTGTTTTGGTGACCTGATATCTGCGCGCCTGCACATAGGGTCAGGAAATTTTTATGCCTGAGTATGAGGGGTTTGCTGTTCAAATTCGCGAATCTGTGAGGTAGAGAGTATTTTGCTACGTCCATGCTCTCGTCAACTCCAGAGGAATTCTAGCACATAGTATTTCCTCTACAGACTGACTATTGTTGCCTGGATGAGTGTTGGCACAGTCCACTGGAGAGGCATACCAATACTGATCGCTTACACAATAATATTCTTAGAACTACCAGCACGCTAAACTTTTATTTATCTGTGTTCATGATTGATGGGCATATGATGACAAAGAAACAAAAAAAGAAAAGGAAAAAGGAAACGAAAAAGAAAAAAAGAAAGGCATGCAATACGAACAGTAGTCATTACTCACCACACGAAATTGATAGATGTACTGTTATGGTCCTGGTATCAAGGCACGCGGAGAAATTTGAATTTCAGGCTGTTGTGTAGAAATTCTCTCCGGTCCATACATACCGAACGTGGTAGGCACCTAATCTCCGATATCTACAGTACCTGCAAATACTACGCTACCGCGCTTTCGAGTTCGCTTAGCACCATGTATTTATTTCTAGGCGCTGTGTGACAGACAGATAGGTGGGCGTGACAGATGCACGTCAGCCCCTGAGCACGATGCCTGACCTACCTACCATGTAACATACATACTACGTATACCTACATAGTAGTAGATATCAGCTGGGGGTCTGCCGGGGGCTAGTGCACTGATTGGGCTTGCTGGGGTCACGCTGATCATCCATCCACATTGCCATCGTTGGTAACGAGTGGGGAGCAGCTAACAAATTCCCCGAAATTTGACTGGCTGAGTCGCCGGCCTCATCTCGCGCTTCGTTCCTCTTTCGCGATTATAGATTAGCGCCTGATGTGCTAGAGATAGAAAGGAAGGAAAAGCAATCGAGCAGGGTTAATACGGCACGAGAAAGCAGAGTGATGGGAGAGAAGGAGGAATAGAAAAGAAGAGGGGAGAGAAGAAAGAGAGTGACGGACAGGGATGCTTGCAAGATACGGGGGACCATGGACCGGAGAGAGGCTGGGACAAGAGGGTGAAAAGGCCGAAGAGCTGAGAAAAGGCGCGAACGTAATAGCTCCATACTACAGATTGCTCTACAGATATTCCTGCGCCTATTCCTTCACGCATCATTGTATTATTGTCTCTGTCGATCACTGTAATCGAATTTCGGCACGGGTTCCACTATACTTGCTCATGCCTTGGTTCTCTTCTTCTTTACCCTACGTTGTGCAACTGTTCGTGCTCTATGTTTCAATAGCAGGCTATAACATGGTTTTATATGCTTGAGCTGTTGTCAAGCCTAGTATATATCCTTCGGTAATCACAGTACCTGCAAAATCCTTGGTCTATTGACCACCCATATATACAGTCGGCGCACAACCTTTACTGTGGAAAGATGATGAAGTTGCTGCCATTCTGGCCAGCTTGAAGGAGTACCAGAGCAAAACTGCCTCGACTGTCGAACTGAGCTCGTTAGCTGAACTGCTGGGTATAGCTCTGGCTGCTGGTAGATCCCCGGGGTCCTATCGTCTGTGATGCCGACTAACCGGCCTCTACCTCGGCCGCGACGCCATTCTTTGTCAAGTGGTGATGAATCTTTTCACCCACACCCGGCCAAAGCAGGCGATCTTCCAAGACCGGACAGTAGGAGGCGGGCCCGTCTTCCCAGGTCCAAATCCACGTCAAATGTATCTGACGCTCTTAGCCGCGCTCGATGCACTGCCGATAATGATACGAGCAATGTGGCTCTTGAACAGGTAGATATAAGTGCGCTTCGTGAACTCGCCAGTGTTCTGAGAACAACGGGCCCACCACCTGACCGCCGCCCAACCCACGACGATTGCCTCAGGCTTTCTGGTACTGGAGACCCGAGAAGGTGGTCCTTACAGTCACTCAGGCGGAATAAGCGCATAAAACCACAGAGGAATTCTCTGCAGTCGCATCTTCCCGAGAATATCGTTCCGGGCACTACAACTGAAGGATACCGATACAATGCCATTTCAACGCCGATTCCAAAGAAGAATAATCTTGATGGCCCATGGTTTCGATCACAATACCCTGTCTTCTTACCATCGCCACAATCGCCCCCACGTCATCACCTTTCCAGCCCTGGGATATGGCCAGAAAGGAGTTCTTCGAAATCTGTGCACTTCTCGAATACAGAGAAGCGAACCGGGGATCCTGAAAGTTCATCTCACCGAAGATCACGACCTATTGACAAAGATAATTCGCGGTCAATGAGAGTCAGCACAGATCTTCTGTTGAGAGCCATGCTAAATCCCGTAGATGAAGGAATTGAGCACGATATCGGTACCTCCTTGACGACGTTATGTTCCCAAAGAGGCCTAGAAGATGGGGAGATGCAGGCCTTACCACGGGTAACAATGGATGAAGATAAGATTCATGAATTGAACGGCCCCGAGCGAGCTACTTCGAGTGATATAGTCATAGGGACGGAGTCGTTGCTGGTTAAGACACCCAGAGAATCTCCACACGCGTCTTCCGAAGGCAAAGGGCCGCCTTACCCACCACCCAGATCCTCCCGACGACTCGCGAACATAAATGTCCAACCGGGTTTAGCAGTGCCGAATGAAGAAATGGCTCCCGAATCGCCTGGTTTTCCAAACATGCTGGCGACATTGACCTTTCCTTGTCCTCCTAAAGGGTCACGGCCATCGTCCCCTGCTAGTCCCAATAGTACTGCTCCATCTATAGCAGAAAGCTTAAAGGTCCGCCCTATAGTCCAACCGCGAACATCTAGTAGGCACGCTACGTCGATATCAGCCCCTGCTGCCTCACTGAATGAAATTGTCATGCAGAAACGGCCCGGTTCTCGACAAGTCGTGACTGACAGGCCGACAGACACTGAACCTGCCGAGCATCCGACCTCAGTGGATGTCGTTCATGGTCAAGGTCAGCCATTTTTTCTTTTGTTATTATCGTGACCCGTTGCCTCGACAACCATTGGGCTTGGCCGATATTTCCCACTGCTCTCTCACCGTACTTCCCTGTCTAAGCTATGACATGCCCGTAATTCTCTTGGTACTTTATCACAAGTTTCTGATTTATCGTTAAGTAGGGCCGAATAATGAAATCAGCTCACTTCGACAACCTCATGAGAAAATAGTTGCGTCACCTTGCGGTGGGGTAGGAAAATGCCAGCGAGAATCGCTAGCCAGTCAGCTCACCGCTACTACCAAATCTTCTCGACAGTCTACCTTGACTTATAGCTCCTCTCGCTCGTCCACTGCAAGCGAGGTGAGCACTCAGAGCAAGACAACAATTGTTGCTCAAAAGACGGAGACCGAATCGACACAAACCTCCCAACTTATTGAACCACCCACATCTGAGAGATGTACGAATGCGAAAGATAGGGAATCCAAAACCACCTTTGCTAGCGAAGACGATGTCGGACCAACTGAGATAGACAACCCGGATCTCTATGAAAGGCAGTCGGACTTTGAAAGATCCGACTCAGGCCTTTCATCCACATCGAACTCGAACATCGAAGCTAATTCGCAACCTAAAAGCATTATTGAAAGGCGTTTGGCAAGGAAGGCCAAAGTGCGCGAGTATAAAATGCGCGACCTGTCTCGGGCTGACACGATTGATTCCCCAGTTTTGGGGTATTTCCCAGCTGCTTTACCGGGGCCTTCAACTTCCTTTCATAGCTCACGGAGGCCATCAACATTAAGCGTGGCAACTACTATAAGTGAGGCGTCGAACGAGACTCCTCAGAATATCGATATCACGTCGCATACGGATCTTACTCGTGAGCTTCCGTTGCAAGAACGAAGCTCTACGGAGACTACTACCAGGGCATCGCGCACAATGAGCGCTCAGTTGACAATGTCTGCGGTGAATGCTACTGAAATAGAACCGATATATCCCCCGACGCCACACTGGCATACAAGTGGCATTACCATGTCCCCCATAATGATTGTCGCTGATGTAGAGTCGCGACCGGGTTCACCCACACTGCGATTCTCGACGTTGGCACGACCAGAGCAGTCCAGTCCCAGAGTGAGGTTGAAACCGCTCAAAATAAGCCCGCACTCGCGGCAAAAATCTCTTTCTGTGACGATAAGTCGAAACCCAACGACTGGTGCGATTGAGCGCAGTTCCTCCGTCCCTATTGATACTCGGTTCAATCGGCGTAGTCTTATGATCATGCCGACGCCTCCTATGTCGCCTGAAGTTTCACAAGCATCAAAACGTTTATCGTTGCCGCCGGTGCCATTCAATCTCCCCGTCACACCGCGGGAAAGAACGCCGCCTTCTAGATGCCAAGAGTGGCAATCTTCGCAGACGACAGAACAGGGAATAGAAGGTAGCTTGCGAAGTACCACACTGAAAGAAAGAGTCATGAGAGAGAAACTCCAGAAGGAGAAGGAGATCACGGACATTGTTGCCAAGACAGTGGGACCGCCTCAAAAGCAGGCGGTAGACAGCGACGAGCTGGGCCCGTTGTCGCTCGAGCAGAACAATACAGAAAGCCTTGAGAAGCGTCTCAAGCGCCTCGAAAGGAATAATGACGCATGGCTGTCTGCTATGAAGCCCCTGCTGGAAGCGATGGCCAGAACTCTTGATGATATGCGGGTAGACGAAAAATCTAGTAGCCGTGAGTGACTCTTGACTTGGTCGGTTAGGATTGATTGTTTGTGTGCTAATCTAGTCGTCATTTGGTGGCATAGTGCGAATGAGCGACTTTGTCATCGACATGGAGGCTGAGGCAAGACGGGTGTCACACAGTCGACGCGGAGAGAAAGAGTACCCATCGACAGCATGGCAACACTTGAACAAGTTGGAGCCAAAAGGGAGTAGAACGAGGGATGCCCTGGGGACTTCTGGCTCAACGCCTCTAAGCCCTGTTCCGCAGGAGCTCGATGATTCCCCTACAGTAGACAGCGGAGCTGTGCCAGTGCCGTCGACGGTAGTAGCTTCACTTGACAAGGCAGGAGAGCCTGGGGACTGGTCTGACCTCGACCCGCTTATCCGGGAGTTGAGCAAGCCTCGCAAATCCCGAGAATTGCAGGAAGCCAGCGGGAGCTACAAGTCCAACGCTCTCAGTCCACTCATGCGTGAATTAATGAATGCCTCGGAGCTGTGCACGGAAGAAGTCACGGATGTTCGTTGAGGGCTGGCTATCGGGTGTATGTAATGGAATGGTGGTAGTAGGATAAATGCACCTACAAAATAATATGGGGGTGATTCTGAGGCAAAGCGAGGCGCTTGTGGCTACAGTCGATCTGGGAGACAAGATGTGACGCCGATTTTCGAAGTAATCCAGATAGTAATACCACGGACTGGATAGAGTGGTTTGCATGGGGAGCTGGGCTGGGTACCCTGGGCGAGAGAGTCCTTCAGAGAGCCCCTTTGCGAATAATGACGTTGCGGGGGGGAGGGAGGACCTTGGGAGACACTCGAATATCATCATCTTCCTCCACTCTCTAGCAGTTACTGTCACAAGTGCTCTGTTTTGATATACGTTTTGATATACCTAGGCTGGCGAGCTGGGCACTGAAGTAGGCGCATCACAGAATAATTGTCGGCCGATTGTAAAAGTTATTTAGGTAAAGATAAACCTATTATCTACCTAATCCATCATATGTAGTCCATGAAGACTGCGTTCAATACAGGGGCAGCAGGCATACGTATGTAACTGTAGGTATACCTACCTATATACACCTGTGGTCTCTGTCTGTATGTACCTAGGTAGGTACCGTATGTAGGTACCTATGTCATGTACCCAAGTTCCTGCTTACCTATTCATCCTCGCTGTGGATACCTAGGTAGGTAGGTACTGCCACTGTGGAGCTTGGGTTACCTGTCCCTTCCAATATGTCCAGCCTGGCCTCATACCAACCAGCCGCTTGCTGTAACCTCGTGAGCGGTCGATAAAGCTTCGGGGTTTTCAGACAATTGGCCTCGCCATAGCGAAAAGCTATTCTTCCTACAATCTCATTACCCCAGCAGCAAGCCAAGGCCCCCGCGACCCTTGCACCACCTACGCATTGAATAAGAAAACGGCTCGCTACGCACTAGCCCTCGTCCATCTGCGGTAGTGCACTGCACAATACCTTCGAGCGGCACCAAACACCAGCGTTGATAGCCGCTTCTCGACGACATCGCCTCTGCCTTGTGTCGACCACCATGGACTACGAGGCGCTCAAAGAGCAGTGGAGTGAAGTCGAGGACCGAGATGGTGTTCGCCTTAGCTGGAATGTCTTTCCCAGCTCTCGTGTTGTCAGTTCTTCTCGGCGCCTCCCGTGCGCTTCACCTTGCAAACTGCCTGCTCACACTCACTTTCGCAGGAAGCCTCTCGCCTCGTCGTGCCCATCGGCGCGCTTTATACACCTCTAAAGGAAAAGCCCGACACACCTTTGCTGAACTTCGAACCCATCACCTGCAAACAGCCATGCCGTTCCGTACTCAATCCCTTCTGGTGAGACCCCCCGCCCCCTGGCGTCATGTCGTCATGCTGTCCTGGCCTCTTACTTCCTTGCTCTTTCCTTGTTATTCTGTGAAGTCTATTTGCATCGCTGATTCGTCGACTCCCCTCAATCTAGCCAGGTCGATCTTCGAGCACGTCTTTGGATATGTCCCTTCTGCCTTTCGCGGAACCCCCTTCCACCCCACTATAAGGATATCAACCCTAACGCCGTGCCGTCCGAGTTGCACCCTGCAAACACCACCATCGAATATAGGTTATCACGGCCGGCTCCAAGTCCACCGATCTTTCTGTATGTTGTCGACACTTGCCAAGAGGACGACAGTCTTGCCGCTTTGAAGGAATCCCTGATCATGAGCTTGAGCCTGCTCCCCGAGAATGCTCTGGTCGGACTCATTACGTTTGGTACCATGGTAAGTAATCATTCTGTTTCCAGCCCGTGAGAGAGTTGTTTCCTAACTCGTCTGATAGGTTCAAGTCCATGAGATTGGATACACTGAATGCGCAAAGTCATACGTATTTCGAGGGAGCAAAGAATACGCCGCAAAGCAGGTGCAGGAGATGCTTGGACTTCTTGCCCCAAGCCTACGACCTGGTATGCCACAGCAGCAACCTGGCCGACCCATCATGCCCATGGGCCCTGCCACTAGGTTTCTCCTGCCCGTCCAGCAATGCGAGTTTCAGCTCACCAAGATCTTGGAGCAACTACAGAAAGACCCGTGGCCCGTTGCCAATGACAGAAGAAGTCTTCGGTGCTCTGGCGTCGCTCTCAGCGTTGCGGTTGGACTCCTAGAATCCTCCTTCCAGAATGCTGGTGGTCGAATCATGATGTTTGCTGGTGGTCCTGCCACGGAGGGACCAGGGATGGTGGTTGGACCCGAGCTTCGAGAGCCAATTCGCTCGCACCATGACATCGATAGAGATAATATCAAGTATTACAAAAAGGCTCTCAAGGTAGGATCTCTGTCTCGCATCCATGGGCGCTAGTATATCTTCTAATTGGACATAGTTCTACGACAATTTAGCAAAGAGAACAGCGCATAATGGTCACATTATAGACGTTTTTGCTGGCTGCTTGGACCAAGTTGGTCTGCTTGAGATGAAAGGCTTGTGCAACTCTACTGGCGGCAACATGATTCTGACAGACAGTTTTACCTCATCCATGTTCAAACAATCCTTCATAAGGGTTTTCGAAAAGGATGCTGACGATAACCTACTGATGGGCTTTAACGCCGTCCTTGAAGTTCTGACCACAAAAGAGCTCAAGGTTACGGGCTTGATAGGCCACGCAGTATCGCTTAACAAGAAATCAACTTCGGTGGGAGAAACGGAGTGTGGTATCGGTAACACATGCTCGTGGAAAATGTGTGGTATTGACCCTAATGCTAGTTATGGCATCTATTTCGAAATTGCGAGTCAAAGTGGACCGACCCAACATCAGCAAGGTCAACAAAAAGGCATGATGCAATTCCTTACATATTATCAACATTCATCAGGCCAATTCCATTTACGTGTCACCACAATTGCTAGGAATTTAAGTGGGCCAGCTGGCGACCCTGCTATTGCCCAGTCCTTTGATCAGGAGGCAGCTGCTGTTCTGATGTCAAGGATAGCAGTATTCAAGGCCGAGGTCGACGATGGACCAGACGTGTTGCGATGGGTAGATCGTATGCTCATTAGACTCTGCTCGCGCTTTGCGGACTATAGGAAGGATGACCCCTCTTCCTTCCGGCTTGAGAAGAACTTTACACTATACCCTCAGTTTATGTTCCACCTCCGACGAAGTCAATTCTTGCAGGTCTTCAATAACTCTCCAGATGAGACTGCATTTTATCGCCACGTGTTGAATCATGAGGATGTTAGCAACTCTCTGGTCATGATTCAGCCTACACTCGATTCCTACACCTTTGACCAAGATGGCTCGCAGCCCGTCCTGTTGGATTCGACTTCAATTCAACCAACACATATTTTGCTACTCGACACATTCTTCCACATTCTAATATTCCATGGCGAAACTATCGCTGAGTGGAAAAAGGCAGGCTACCAAGATCAAGAAGGTTATGAGAACTTTGCTGCCCTGCTTGAGCAACCTAAGGAGGATGCAAGAGTAAGAATATTCATTCAAACCAATAGTGGCTGCCATTACTAACTTGGCATAGGACTTGATTGGGGACAGATTTCCACTTCCTCGGTTCATTGTATGCGATGCCGGTGGCTCTCAGGCTCGATTCCTCCTCTCTAAACTGAACCCATCAACTACGCATACAACTGGGGCGTACGGTGGTGTCGGTGCACAGACTGCGCAAACGATCTTCACAGATGACGTGTCTTTGCAGACGTTCATGGATCATTTGATGAAGTAAGTATTTGTTTGCTATGCCCCTTGAAGTTGCCGTAATTGACAATCATAGGCTTGCTGTGAGCGGTACTAGTTAAGGAGACACCTCAAATCTGCTGGTGATACATCTGGAACGCTGGTCGATCTTCGTCGTATACTAGGAAGTGGTAATAGGCAACTTTTGGAATGCGTAGGTAGGTAGGGATGGGTTTGAATGCCCGCAAAGATGTACCGTCGTCGCTGTGACCCTTCTGATGTAAACAATTGAAAAAAAGGGGGGTTCTCAAATTAGGGATCTCATTCTCTATAAGAAGTCCACGATTGCTGGGTAGTGTGACGTGACAATGAAGGAGAGGATAGGTGTGTGGTGTGCGATATGATTTTTCACTGGTGCACAGGATGTATTGAACAGATCATTCTTGCTACCACCTACATATATACACGCGTGCGTGCTCTCTCCCTATGTCTTTCCCTAAGCACGGGGCTTCAGGGGGCATATCATTCTTTTAAGCACACCTTTTACTTAGGAGGTAGCAATGATCGTATCTACTAAGCTTAAAGTCGATATGTGCATAGTCCGGCAACTTTCCCAATCTTTCCGAAGCTTGCCTCTTCTCATTTCCGTCGTCTTCTTTTCTAAATACTTTATTGCTGTGGGGGGATTGTAGATTGGAGGAGGCCAGTACTTGTAAGTAGGTACTTACTATGGTACCTGGGTTCTAGATGAGATCTAGTGGGGCAGGTGAAGGCGGGACGCTGGCACTTGTACCAGGGGAAGTCGGGCCGCCAATGAGTGCTGCGCACTGTCAATCGCTTGGATTTTGCAACCCTACCTCTTGGTCTAAAACCCACAAACCATTTTCAACAACTTCCTGTCTAAACTTTCTGGCTTGAGGCGGGAACACACCAATACACGACGTCCAACTCCAACCACCACCAGATCCTCGACAATAGACTATCATGCGTACGTCTGTTCCCTTCGCTCGGTTTTCACACAGCCGTTGATCTTATTGTTGACATTCGCCTCTCACAGCTCCCAAGATCGACCCTAACGAGATCAAGGTGATGTACGTCCACCGAAACCGTCACGCGGCCCGGTTTTTCCCATATTCATACAACGAAGTGCCTCAATATACTCATCGCCACAAATAACTGACCTATACTGACAGTCACCTTCGAGCCACCGGAGGCGAGGTCGGTGCCTCATCGGCACTGGCTCCTAAGATTGGTCCTCTCGGTCTGTCGCCCAAGAAAGTTGGTGAGGATATCGCTAAAGCCACTGGTGACTGGGTAAGCAATGGCACCTGTGCGACGAGTCTTGTCGTCGCTGTCAATTGCTTTTGCATGGCTGACCGGAGAAATCGGGAATCGTATAGAAAGGACTGCGAGTTACTGTCAAGCTCACCATCCAAAACCGTCAAGCCGCCGTATCGGTCGTACCCACAGCCTCCTCTTTGATCATCAAGGCGTTGAAGGAGCCGCCCCGTGACCGGAAGAAGGAGAAGAACATTAAGCACTCAAAGAGTGTCCCTCTGGAGGATATCATCGAGATTGCTCGAACAATGCGATTCAAGTCTTTCTCTAAGGATCTTGCCGGTACCGTCAAGGAGATTCTGGGCACAGCATACAGTGTAGGCTGCCAGGTGGAGGGAAGAAGTCCGAAGGCTATCACGGAGGATATTGACAGTGGTGCAATTGAGAGTAAGTGGATCCGTTCTACTGATTTTGCATATTTCAGTTGGGAATTAACACGCGACTCATAGTTCCTGATGAATAAATAAAACGTGCTATGGGCTGGACTGGTAAGGTTTGAAGATGTTTATTTGTGCTGCATCTTTTACAGGAGTTCAGGAATGGCTTCGCACTAGGCTTTGCCGGAGGCCTCTCAATGGAGAAACCAACCAAAAATTTGTGATACCGTCAACTATCTTGGATGATGAAAGAAGTGACTTTGATGACCATAACGCATATATCAAGTGCTCCTCAGCGCCACAACCCTTGCCTACACTCCGAAATATGCCTCGCTCACCATGGCATCATTTCTATTTTATGTCAAGGAAGAATGACCCAAGACCCATTACTCACCGCGGCCTCTGGCTTCGTAGCTCGATGGAGGTTGAGGTCCATATATCTCTGGTCTATATGTCAAATCTTAAAGATAAATTCATCTATTTCAGTCAGATACGGTTTTAGCTAGCAGACGCATGATGATGATGCAATTCATCCGTGTTCCGCTTCAAATTTAGTATTTCTAGACTGTCGAGCATATACACCCATTTGGATGGTTTATTCGTCGAAACTTATATCTCGGATAAATTCGCGAAACTTGATTAGGTGCTGATTACATCTGTCATTGTACTATAGGTAGAGTATATGGTGCAAATTTCACCATGGAGCTGAAATAAGCTGACACACCTAACACCTCTGGCTTGATGTTCACTTTGGCTGAATGATGCTGACAAAGAGCCGATTACAATGCCCAACGGCAACTTTTTAGGATTGTAGGACTGGCTTTAACGCATGAAGTTCGATCAACTGATTGTTTGTCATAGCTTGCAGTCTATTCCGCTTGTGGGGAATGCCATGCAAAATATGTAAAAAGACTGCCGCTGGCACATCAACCCCTGTAACGCCCCATCTAGAGAAGTACAGCAGCAAGGGCACGTAGACACTTGATCTGAGTGACGTGGGCTCTTCTATATAGGCGTCTGTATATACCAACGAACCCCACCCTGGTAAGGCAAACAGGATCCATGTATCCCGGGTGTAATACAGTAGGTAGATAGATAGGGGACAGCAGAAATATATCTGTACTTGTTCAGAAGTGCACCACATAACCATTGTCTCATCTAGGGAGATGTTGCATTACAACATGCATTACCACATGCATTACCTACATTAACTATGGCCTGACTGAGCATCTTCTCATATAAAATACAGTCTTGCCAAGAATGACTGAACCAACAATGCAAGACCGTGTTCGTGTCGTATTTGCTGATTCCCGAGGTCCTGTTTCCATACAACCGTGTAGAACTATGTCTCTAAGTACTAGAGATTCTCTGCACACGAGGAAGATGTGCTCTTCCTACTCTGTCCTACCTATGGCTGTGCCCGCTTCCCATGCATTTCGGGAGTGTAGTGAGCAGTTGACAGCTTGCCACACACCGCTCTCTTTCAGTTATGCTTACTCGAATGTACGCCCCCTCCCGTAACTTTCAATCTGTCTCTCAATGTGTAATATACAGTATGTACATGACTTGTGTCGACTTCATATTGATACTAGAGGTAGTAGCGCGTGTGGGAGCCCTAACATACATTATGTACGCACGTAGGTATGCAAGTTGCATGTAGGTACCTATGATTCCACACCGACTCTACATGCACGAGGCGCACGAGGCGCCCTATTTCCTGCCTCCTGCCTCCTGCCTGCCTGCCTACATATTATACCTATGCACTTCAGGCCTTCATTTCGGTCTGCGCATGCGCTCCGCATTGCCTTGGATTGGGAACAAAGACTGTGATATTGTCGAGGAAAGCATGAGTACCTAAGATACTACCACCGTAGACATGCGGGTGGGTGTAGTTTGCTAGATTCAGGTCAAGGCGTTATTTAGACTTCCTGTGAGCCTACCTAGGTAGGTAGGTGTATATCTAGGTAAACCTAGAAGTGTCATTGAAGACGTAAGTATGTACACAGGCGCCCAGCCTGCATAGCTTACAGGAATAGGTACCTACCTCCCTACATTATAGAGCAGGACTAGAAGGTACCTATTCCTGTAAGCTATGCGGGCTAGGCACCTGTCTGCCTTCATGTACCTGACGTTAGTAGATATAGTGCATATACTAATGAAATGACAGCACTTAGGTTAGGTGACTTTCCGCACTTGTCACCTCAATTCCTGTTGAGCGCCATATCCGAGTCGCTTCAATCGGTATTCTCGTGAGAACCGGCTGGCGTCAAGCTACCTGCCGGTCCTTCTTGTTATCTTGTTACGCAGCCCGTCTGAGCCCTGAGTCGTTGCCATAGTTTCGGACCTCATCGCTTCTGTTATCTTCGCATTTGTCCGATTAGGTTGATCGTGGTCCGTTAGCCGTAGAACGAACCACGACCCCGTGGCATCCCGACGCCTTGCGCCCAACGCCCATCTCAAATTTGTGTAGCAACGTTGGCCGTCGAGTTCTGGTTGAAATCAACGCCGTCCCTAGCTCCCGACTGCAGTCCCCCGTTTCTTCGCTATTGAATGTGGTTGTCGATGCATGGAGCCTTCTCGCTGAATGCTGATGCTGCTGCGGCTGGAATTTGCCCCTCCAAATGTACATCACTCAGCTGCCGTAAGCCGTGCCCTGGCCAGCAGGCTATCATGAAACCATTTGCACAGAGAGGTTTCTTTCTTTCACGCTCCCTCTTGAGCCCTTGATGTTTTAGTTACAGCGAGCGAGCGAGCGAGCCAGATGTTGCCCCTAATACAAAGGCACCCGATGGTGCACCACTCTCAAACTTATACAGCTTCTCCGCCACTCTTCATGCCTGGCCACTATCACCACCACCACCAACAACAACAACAACAACACCAGCAGCAGCAGCACCACCACCACCAACAGCAACAACAACAACAACAGCCGCCGCCGCCGCAGCCGCCGCCACTTCCATTGCATCAACATCCCTACGGAAATTCCTCCGACGCCAACGTTAACGCTCGTTCCTTTCCGACTCCGCCCACTTCCGGGTTTGTTCCTCGTTCTGCCGTTCCCCTTCGTTTATCGCGACCTGCAGTACCATCAGTACCCCTACACACGTCGCCAAACGCCCGCCTGGCGCCGCACCAATTCGTCGAAAATGGAGAGCATCGACTGAGGCGAAAGACGCCCAACGGCACCATTGATGCCGGCTACGATGGGAATCCAAGTCATCTCGCTTCCGGGCCTCCGCCTTTCAAGCACATGGTCCTGCCGACGTCCTCAAAGCCCGTCCCGTTTGCCGGTCCCTCACAGAATGCTTCGCGCTCTTCGTTATATCCCGTAGCTTCTTCCGCTGATCGGTGGTCATACTCGTCTTCCTTTTCTTTCCATACACCCGACGGCCCTAGTCTGCTTCCCCTAGATTCCAATGTGCTTCCACCGGGAAGTACTCTGCATGTTAATTCTCAAGATCTCGCTACCGCGCTGGCGCTAGATTGTGCGCCTAGTGGGCCAGTTGCAACCCATCAAGTGTATAACAACCTACCTCGAGTGCCAACCGCCCTGCAACCTATACACCAACAATCACCAAGTCCAGCCTTATTTCACAACGGCGCCATGCTCCCAGCTGCCATATGGCCTGAGGCTAACTTATCTAGCTACTCCTATACTTTCAGGCCATCGCCTTACCAGAACCAATTTAACACGCAGGCCATCCATCACCATGGGTCGGATGCATTTGTGGCGCCCTTCTCTGCCATGAGCCTTAGATCCGGATTTGAACCACACCAAGCTTCCATTCAAGTACCATCGCAGAAGCTCGAATCCCTTACCTTGGAGTCTACAGCTTTCAAGCCGAGCGAGAGTCGCGTGCAGGGAATTCCCTCGCCTGTACGGTTTCGGGAAAAAGTTCTCACTCATGCACATCGTTCGTATTTAGAACTTTTAGCTTATCAGCATCAAACCAAGAAATCTCCACACCGCTCTGTTGGTCCACGAACTTCCTCTAGAATGGTCATCTTCCCCAAGCTTCCTAGATCTTCAAGTTATTCGAGCAGTGTATTTGCCACGCAGCATAGTCAGGAAGAGCTAGACTTTGCTGACATCAGACGTGGAAATCTTTCCACGTGTCCTGAATCTGAACTTCATCCAGTTGCGCATGGGCAGTTGAATCGGAACCATCATCTTCGAGGACCCAGGGCACATAACCCAGCACCTTATAATTCTCTTGGAACTGACAACAGCTTACGAGCTTCTGATCCCAGCCATGCGGTACGAGAACGTGTGCTTGTCACACCTCTCACGAGTGCCAAGGCTGCCATTGACATGCTGACCAACTTATGCGAACAGAGTGATTGGAAATGGATCGATGGTATGCTGCTCGGTGGCTGTCTTCACTATGGCCTTGAACGTTATGAACAGTCTCTAGAGTGGTTTCAAAGAATCGTCTCTTTGGACAGTGGGTATGGCTCTCTTACTCTAGTCCATGTTGGGACTTGCTAACTTAATCCCTTGCAGTCATGTTGAAGCTATGTCAAACATGGCCGCCTCGCTGTATTGTCTTGGTCGCTGCGAAGAAGCAGAGAAACACTGGATGCGGGCTGTACGTAGACAGCCTAATTATCTGGAAGCTGTAGAGCATCTAGTACATCTACTATGCGCAAATAACCGCAGCAAAGAGGCCGTTGAAATCATCGACTTTGTTCAACGGTCACTGAGACTTCCCAACAACTCGCCAAGAAACAACACAGGGAATGAAGCCCGCATAGGATCGACACATACTCCCTGGGACTCTGGAATACCACGAATTGCATCTCAATCAGCCTTAATAAGTGACTCGGAGCGGGCCGAAGAATTTGAAGCTCCGGGTTTTGGCTTGAGCGGTTATTCCGTTCCCGCTAGCGAGAACGGCCGCGTGATCGCGTTGATCCATGCTAAGGGCAACATGCTCTACGCGTTGAAGGATATCGACCAGGCCTCTGACGCCTTCGAGGAGGCTGTATTAATCAGTACAGGGAAGTCACTTCAGTGTATTCGATCGCTTATCTCTAGGATTCAGTCTGTCTTGTCGAATCCTCTATCGACTAATAGAATTCACACTTTATCAAGTGCACCGTTGTTGCTACCACCAGATGAAGCAAGACAAACTGCTCGACTAGTGTTTACCACCACTGGCGAGCTTCCTGGTCTACGATATGTGCCAGAAGGTATGCCAAAGAAGTCAGCCATATCCACTACTAGTAATTCACTTTTGTCTTTGGCGAAAATTTTTCAAGATGCCATGTCCAACGGTGGTGCTTATCCAAAACTGCTTCGCCAACCACCGGGAGTTGGAGATATTCTTGCCTTGTACTATTTATCGCTCTCCCTCTCTGAAAGCCCGTCGACTGCCAACAATGTTGGTATCCTTCTCGCCAGCATCCAACATACGCGAGCAGCATCCCCCAATCGCACATCGGAGTCCCTTCCTACCCCTATTGCTGGGATAACACCAGGCAGTGGACTTGCCCTGGCACTTGCATATTACAATTATGGCCTAGGCCTAGACTCAAAACATGTGCATCTTCATACGAACCTCGGTAGCTTGCTTAAGGATATTGGCCAGCTAGACCTTGCCATTCAGATGTATGAGCGAGCTGTTGCCTGTGACGGTACTTTCGATATTGCCCTAACCAACCTAGCGAATGCGGTTAAAGACCGTGGGCGCATTAGTGACGCGATCATGTATTATAAGCGTGCTGTCAATTCAAACCCACAGTTTGCCGAAGCTGTTTGTGGTCTCTCTACGGCACTAAACTCAGTTTGTGATTGGAGAGGCCGGGGCGGGGTGTTACTTGACCACGGGCGGTATGACCGTTGGCACGTCAATGATGATGGTATGTTAAAGGATGCCAGAGAGGAAGGTCTGGGCAGTGGCTTAATGAAGAAGGTGGTGGCTATTGTTTCCAAGCAGTTGGCAGATTCATCCCAATGGGGCATGGGCATCCTCCAAAATGGTGAACTAGATGTTCTGGTGCGCCAACTGAGGACATGCGTAGGAGGCGAGTTGGGTAACGGTATAGACGTGGAGGCCGAGCTTAGAAATTGGGCTGGCCGACCATGGGAGGGTTCTCGACTCATTCGACTCATTGAACGCGCTACGAAAGTGATGATGCGGCGTTGGTATATCGACCAATTCGTTACCGGCCATTCCTCAACCTCTGACTATGTTAGGCTCAAGCTACCAGCACAATTGCCCGTACCCGCCGCCCCGACTGTTCTCCCATTTCACACCTTTACATGTCCTTTAAGTGCTAAAGACATTCGGATGATCTCACAACGAAATGCGGCAAGAATAGCCTGTTCGACTCTAAGATCTCCTTGGCTACCCACCACTGTCTATCCTCCACCACCGCCTCCAAGCTCTCATCTCAACATCGGATATGTCTCTTCTGATTTTAATAATCATCCTCTTGCTCATCTGTACGAACTGCTTTCCTACATTTTTCCATGCTTGAACCGTACATATATGCTAATTTGATGCTATAGGATGCAATCAGTCTTTGGGTTTCATGACCCCCAGCGAGTCAAGGCGATCTGCTATGCCACGACTGCTAGTGATAGATCTGTCCACAGGCAGCAGATAGAGCACGAGGCGCCTGTTTTCCGGGATGTGAGCGGTTGGTCCTCCGAACAGATTGTACAGCAAATTGTCAACGACGGCATTCATATCCTTGTCAACTTGAACGGCTATACTCGAGGCGCAAGAAATGAAGTTTTTGCAGCACGACCAGCTCCCATACAAATGTCATTCATGGGCTTTGCTGGCACGCTCGGTGCCGAATGGTGCGACTACCTCCTAGCTGATGAAACAGCAATTCCGCCATCAACGCTACGACCACCGAGGAGTAATCTTGGCCTAGATGATGTTTTCCGCGACGAAGAATTCACAGACGCGGAAGACTGGGTTTATTCGGAGAACATCATCTTCTGCCGCAACACATTTTTCTGTTGCGATCACGCGCAGTCGTGCGAGGCTGAGGAGACGACCATCACCTGGGAGGACGAACTGCGTCGTCGATGGAAAATGCGTAGGGAACTCTTCCCAAATCTGTCGGATAATACCGTCATTATGGGTAATTTTAATCAACTCTACAAGGTACGCCTTGCCATATCGACTTTGTCAGTATTCTTAGCATCCACCTGCTGACTTCAATATTCAGATCGACCCCTCCACGTTTCGTACTTGGCTGCGTATTCTTTCTAATGTACCCAAGGCGGTCTTGTGGCTACTCAGATTCCCTGAGCTGGGAGAGAGCAACCTCCGAAAGACCGCTAAAGCGTGGGCCGGGGAAGAAGTGGCAAACAGAATCATATTCACGGATGTAGCACCAAAGCAACAGCACATCTCGCGGGCACGTGTGTGTGACATCTTTCTAGATACACCAGAGTGTAACGCGCATACGACAGCGGCTGATGTCCTGTGGTCGAGCACACCGCTTTTGACACTGCCAAGGTACCCGTATAAGATGTGCTCGCGAATGGCAGCGTCGATTCTCAAGGGCGCATTGCCTAAAAATGCTGAGGGGGCTCGCGCCGCCCAGGAACTCATTGCCTCGGATGACGCCGAATACGAGGCCTTCGCAACTCGGCTCGCTAGTGGATTGAGCTATGAACGGACGAACGAGGCGTATTGTGAAGGGCGAGGCCGTCTAGCCGAGCTACGCAAAATTCTATTCGAGGCAAAGTGGACGTGTGCCCTATTTGATACACACAGGTGGGTATCTGATCTCGAGAGCGCATATGAAGAAGCGTGGCGGCGCTGGGTCACAGGCGAAAGCGGAGATATTCATCTGTAACACATAGGGACTCACAAACATACTGAGGTTGGGGTCTCTGCGCTGACGCATCCTAACATGCATAATGAGCGAGTTGTGCCCAGAACATGATTGTCAGTCATGTATGCCAGCTTGTACAACCAAGATGTTGGGACAATACCGACGGGTAACTATCTTGTCATGGTGCGCTTCAGTGGCTCGGCGGTCCAACTTGGCGGGTTAGCTCTTTTTTCTTCTTTTTTTTTGGCTCGAGATTGGACTGGAAGTGGTGTTTACTCGTATATCTGGTTCTGGCCACTCATTCCATCTTTGTTGTTATTTTCCCTCTGTTTGTAATTACAGGGGCAAGGGATATTTTTCAGGGAACTAGGGATATAGAAGTGACGGTGACTCGGACCAAGTGCTGGTAAGGTCTCGTTACTAAAGAAAGGGATATCGGTCGCCTCAATCGCGACGGAGCGGGCGTTTTTTTTTTTTTTTTTTTTTTTTTTTTTAAACGCTTTACTTTTTCCTACTTAACATTATTTATATCCGTTGGGCAGTGACATACTCAGACTTTCAAAGCGCGCAGCGCTGAGGTCGAATGTATTTCGGCTTTGATATTTTATTTTGGGGGTAACGATCTTGCGTCGGTACCATTTTCCCGGATAATCGAAATGGGCCTCGTTACTCAATGATAGCCGCAGCAATAAGGTATAGCGTGACCATGGCCCATCTCGTCTTCAACCTCTTCCACTTCCTCGTCATTGAAAGATGATAAGTGGTTCATGGGATTCTTTTCCTTCTCAGACCTAGTATTTGTGTCATGAAGACAAATACTGTAGGAGCGGTGCGAGAGCAAACACTAAAGGAACAGACGGAAAGTGGCAACTGCTGGTCATGCACATGTGCATCAAGGTCGTCATTGTGGCCTCATTACCTGGAAGCTCAATCGAGGTATTTGTTACGAAGCGTGTAAAACTCTCACGCACAGTTTATGAATCTCCACAGCCCCCTATTGGCATCGTGGTGATCAAGACAACGGTACAACTCAGGTTGTGCTCTAATCCATCAAAACCGGTACACTCGTTAACGGTGATGACGGCAGCCTTAGCATAGCTAAGGTAGGGCTTAGACTAGGCTCGGGTTAATATTCCCTTAGGCGTGCTATTCTGAGTAGGCCGTGTCTATCAGTGTGCTTGTAGTGTATATGTAGCGGGGCAAAACACAATCGAGAGATCTACGTCGCAGTGCTGTTCAGCTTCGGTATTGCTTGGGAGAGGTAGGGATACAAGATGTGAGTTAGATGACGAATCCTCCATTTTTTTCGCGGCATGGTCATCGGGTGCCCAATTGGCGTGTCGTACTATACACACCCTTGGTATATATACATGCAAGTGAAGATCGGATATATGCTCTCCTTCAGCCTCTCCTTTGTAATCTAGATAGGCGGGTTCACGAAATTCAGGTGGTCCAAAGACCTATTTCTAGGGGAGGGGTATCAATTGACTGTTGTGCTACGGGCTAGACTTGGTAACGGTGATGTGGTCTTCTTGAGAATTCAGCTCGCGCGATGATAGTAAACACATATAGGTAGACGTAGTACGAACAAAAGAAGTTGGACTAGATTTTTCTTCCGATCAAATCACTACAATGTGCCCATGAACCTGGCTGCTACGAGTCCACGTGGCGACAACGTAGTATTATACGGTTCAGCTCTGTCGGCCAGGTATCGGGGACAAGCCTCAGTAGCACCGACAAGAATGAGACAGCATCGTAATGTCGTTCATGAGGGTGTGCCCACAATACCTGTTGCAACAATACATCAACATCTGGTGGGTTAAAGTCGGTGGGCGGAGCCTTTTCTTTCTGTCCTTTTTTATTTTTGTTTTTTATTTTTATTTTATTTTTTTAAAGGATTCTCGGCGTCGTCGTCGATGGCAATCAAAGGGGTGTGATCTCGGAGATCGTCAACTGGATTCCCAAGCCGGCGGGTCAGCCAAGCAAAGAACCGAGCACCTACCTAGTATACACTAGGTTAGGTGATCTGCTGGAGGCTACTCCAGGGCGTGCTCGACGCCAAGAGAAGCCAGCTCCCCGTTGCAGCCGCGAACATCCAAGGATGGGAAGAATGGGTGGTCAAGGGTGGTCTGACCGGGGAAGTGATGACAAGGGAGTGAGGAGGGTTCTGGAGCAGAGCTGGAGGGCGTTAATGCCTGCAAGTGGATTACGAAGACCGTTATTACTTGTTCTGGCTGTCAGTGCTCTGCTAAAAACGGTACTCCTACATGTAGGTATCCTTCGTTCACATCCTTTTTATTGTTGCACACACTACTTCCCTGCCTACGTCTTCTTAGATGCATTTTCAGAAGTTGCTGCCACACCAGTAGTAGCTTGTGGACAGCGATATAAGAAGAACCGAGAATCCTGTTTGTGTATATATACACCCAGGTAGGGTTGAAGAGACGGGTGACCGCGCTGTGAGAAGATACATGCATGTGTAATATACGAAGAAAAAAAAAAAAAAGGGAGCGGAAGCAAGAGAAGCCCACATACATTACGCGTGGAGAGCATTCATCTGGCTACGTGTGCACGTTATTCCGCTGGTATAGGCATGGCGGCGTCTGTATACATGATAAGTAAGTATGCGTGTTCACCATGCTGTCTCATATTTGTCTCGTATATGTATACCGAGGGGTCTGTCCGGTTACTTGTATCAGCTGCGCTACAGGACATGGGTTTACTCGATACCTTGTCCTTCATCCGCTGTGACCTTTACAAGTAGGCTTGATGGAAGTGTAGCAGTGGGCTACCGAAGAACAACAGGCGAAGTTCCTTTGTAGTGTTCTTCGTCTCGTCATCGTAGGACTTACCCGGCATACCATGAGGCTATTGTTACCACCGTATCTCTGGCCATGTAATCTCACTTGCGTTGGCAATAGCCTTCTGGTTTGGTCGCAAGCCGCCATATGAATCGTTAAGGCCTATTAGCTACCACCTCAGCCTTGGTATCATCGTTGTTGTCGGGCTTTCTTTTGCGTAGTTTTATCTTAAGCCAAAGAATTATGATACTACGAGTGTAAGGACTGAGGACAGGCATAAGACGAATACCGATATCCCCAAGTCGGCGCCTTTCTATCAATATCACACATTTGATACCAATATGAGAAAGCTCACGCTACCGTACCGGTAATACATGTAGACTGGCAGTACGCCCTGTGGGCGGAGGCTGAGAATGGTTACCTGCTGTAGATTGATTGATGTTTTCCTACACTGTATCTACCTACGTTTCCCATCGTCTGCCCATCGGTACTTGCTATTGCTAGGTATGTTCCTTGAGGCTTTCGAGGAGCTATACGCACCTCACACTGTACGGTACACTCCCAACCAGATCTTGCAATCCCTGCGGCGGCAGATTTGAGCCAGAAATGACATGGTTCAAGGGCTGCTCCTTGCCCCTCTACTGGTAAAGATCCCCATCCGGGATCATTTGTTCCCGCCGACGGCCATAAACCCACACTTCAATCTCTTTCGCCAGGGCCCCTTGACCGCTGCCCTTGACCCTGGTGTCAAATACTTACTACATACTTAGTATGTATACTATTGGTATGTACATACTATAGTAGGTAGTGCAGAATACAGGGTAGAGATCTGGCTCCGCCATCAATGCCAATAGACGATACACATCGTATCGGATGCCATGAAAACGCGGCGAGCGGGCATACATAGTACACACACAACCCAGCTGAAAGGTGGCGGGAAATAAGAAAGAAAGGAAAGAAAAGTCACACGTGGGAAAAGAGCCGAGTAGCGATGAATTGCACCACCTCTTCTGGGTTCACACGTGCTAACCAGTGAAGATATAGATAGCTACCAAAGCACGGAGATTTCACTTCATACAGTATGTTCTTTATCCCAGCCTGCGAATACCTACATGGATGGATTGACTTTACGGACGTACAGCTCTGCCTGGCAAGCTTAATTAGACCTCTAGTGGAATCCACACCCGAGATCCCGATTCATGCTCAGACAGGTGTCTCGACTGGGCCCTAGCCTGGTTGGGTTCGAGCCATCATGTAGGTATAAGCAATATACATGTACATTGGTAGTTATCCAAAGAGCTAACGGCGGTGCTTCACCTACATAGTAGTCTCTAGCGATTCGGGAACAACCACGACAAGCAACGCAGTGGCTGCAGAAAGACCGGGGGTCCTCGTCGAGACTTTGTTTCTCCCAGCGATTCTCCAGTGGCTGCCGACTAACTCGCTAGTGTACCCAGTCCAAGTCGCTCCCGCTACACTACCGGTATTAGATACAACATGTTATAGAAATCCCTGGTTTGGCCGCCCATGGTGATTCAGCATCTTCTGGGCACAATGCTGAGCACACACCACTTCGGTCCACGGCGGGCGTGTCCATACCACGTATGACACCAAGGCCCGAGTATAGCAGACTACGGTACGGCCCAACACGTATATGCTACCCATCGTTGAGACTACACCGGGCTATCCCTCTGTTCTAATCCTTATTCGGGTTTCCCGGTGCAGGCCTTTCCCGCCTTGGTGACTTTGTTTGGTAATGGCCTGCTGAGCTCTGTTGCTAACCCTGGCCCCCGTTGCCTGTCTGTCGTAGACCAGGTCTATTATATATACGACACTAGATACCTACGCTACACCTGATGAGTGTGGGACCCTCATAAACGTACATACATAGTATATACATGTACTTATCGCGTACGCGGTACGGAAAACTGTATCGTGCGTACTGTACGGATGGGGATGCAAGCATTGCACCAGTAGGAGCCAGAGCAGAGCAACAGAGTAACGGCGCCACAACACCTGTGGTCCATGGAGGCGGCGATGACGATCCCAGCCGAACCATCTACTATGGATCCTGGTATATGTACGTACCAGTGGTGGCGGCCAAGTACTGTACAGCTGCAACAATATGTGATGCTCTGTTATTAATACTTACTGCTGTACCATGCCCACGGCTAACCTGTTCCATCTGACCACCGCAACGGATGGCTAAAGTAGCCAGGGCTATTTCCCCGATCTCTTTTCTTCCTTCGAGGAGGTCAGCTATTCTGTGCACTAGACACGCTTCCTTATTAGACTAGGGGGGTTGGACTACATAGTACACTTCGCACGCAGAGTACAGCATATCTATGGGTTGGGTCCCTCCATTCACGTTCATCACGGTCTACAGCTTTATGTATATCAATCTTATTTCAGCCGGTGTCTGTCCCGGTATAACTAAGACGGCCCCCCTTCTTCCCACGCCCCCTCTTCTTTCTCCGTTGTCAACCTCCTACCAAAAAGTGTGAAACCCATTCCACCATCAACGGTATTCGCCCAACTATCAACACATACTCGACTATGAACTCGACTATGAACACACACTCCACACTACTCACACATATATAATCGATATCAATATAAGTATTCTACGCAACGTTAGTAGATCGATCTAGCAACTGTAAGCCCAGATCACTGCTTAGCACGAGATCATTCAACCATTCGTCAACGGGACCATCAGCAGTTCGTTGTGGGAACTCATCACCAGCGGCCAGTCTAACTGAGTTGACCGGAGTATCGATAACAATATCCTAAGGATGGCTGATCATCGGAGAGGGCCGTGGTCCGAATTCGAGGATGCTGCCCTCATACAGCTCGTTCAGCAGCAGGGCCCCTTGAACTGGGTCAAAATCTCAGATACTATCGTCTCCAGGAGCCCTAAACAGTGTCGGGAACGGTACCACCAGAATCTAAAGCCAACGCTCAACCATGAACCTATATCTACGGAAGAGGGCCAACTAATCGAGAAGCTCGTTGGCGAACTAGGCAAGCGATGGGCAGAAATCGCGAGGAGGCTCAACAACCGGAGTGATAATGCCGTCAAGAACTGGTGGAACGGTAGTCAAAACCGTCGGAAACGCACATTTCGAAAGAAGTCGTCCGGTGGTAACAACGGTCATCGTCGACTAACCGCTCCCCTTGATCATCCTCGAAGACCACAGCTAGAGCTAGCGACTGGGACGGCCCATGTATTCCAGGCAGATCATCGCCATGAACCTCTCTCTCCTTGTATGGTCCAATACAGCCATACTGTGCAGAACGCGCCCCCATCTTCGGGACTTCCATCACCTCATTCAGATCGAAGTTCATTGTATTCTATCCCCGTTACAAAGGATACTTTACCACCGGGGAGTCCCATAGCTCTTCCACCGTTGCGTCGTAACAGCTACGATGCCATGAAACATACTCTTCGGCCGGAACCGTTATTGCCTCCCGTATCAGCGGCGCCTAACTTCCGGCTGCCACCAATACAAACTCTAGCAGTTGGTGAACACCACGCATTACCAACTGCTCCAAATTCACCCTCGGATTCGGGGCCTGGCGCAATACAGAAACAGCATGATCTTTCTCGTTCCTTTCCAAGGCACCCATTCGGCCCGGTTCATAGTAGAAGGGGCAGTCAAAATGATGATGGGGACGCGAGGCTGAGAGTAAGCCACATAGTAGATTAAGGCTAATAAACATGACTTGGAGTTTTGGCGCATTCTTCCCTCAGTGGCGGGCATTATTACAGACATGGGAATGGAATGGACAAGGGAAAAGGCAAAGGAGCATTGGATTGGCAGCAGGACGGAATACCCTTTGCGTTGATTCCCCCGATAGGCAATATGATTGCACTATCGGTTCATGTCTGTTTGAGAGCATGACTAGAGCGTATGCAACAGTAATAGAATCGATTCCAGGTCTTGTGTGCACACTGGTCAAATACACGAAGCTGGTTTTGTTAACTCAGGTTAACTATGATGAACATGCATCTCTCGTGATCTTAAGAAACCAAATGCGCTAACCGCAACATTAGACGAAACCTGGCATAGAACTATTAAAATTGATTCCCCTACGTAGACCTGTGAATATCTCAAAGGTCAAGTGCTACCTGGCATCATACCATGAGCATCTCAATGATCTATCACCTTTCAAGCTGCTGGACAATCATCTTCTGGGCCAGACTAAAAGATCTCGGGACAAGAGCTCTCCAGACACCCACTGTTTTCTCCAGTCTTAGATGGTAGTGGTATTATAAATCTGTCAACTTCAAATCGGATACCCCAAAAGCATACTAGATACACGGGGAGTATTCTGGCAACCTCACATTACCTATTGCAGTCTACCACAGTAGGTTAGAAGATCGGTAGTTCTACGCACTACTCCTGGGCCCATTCAGTCCCTCTTCGCTCTACGGCAGACGGAGACAGGCAGATACACCCGAGCGTGTTGAACGACCGGGTTAATGACGTCCGTGACTACGTCTTCTATTGCCCGTTACCCCTAGAGGAGGCTAAGAAGACGCCGGGCCACCAGGCCCCCAGACCACCAGACCACCAGACCATAAGCCACCCACAGGTGACCTACATGAAACGCACAGGCAACTCACGAATTATGCAATGCCTGCTCCCAATGGTCGCCGAAGCACCCAGACCAGCCAAACACGGCCATGCAACGGAGTAACACTAGCAGATTCCGGCACATGGGATTGCCCGTGTACAGTATAATCGTGAAAGTACTTCTGCTATTCGGCAAGTTGAACGAAAACAAGATGGATCTGACAAGAGATCCACGAGCGAATACTATATTGTAGACACGCCGCAAATATATACACGTACATTAATTAAGTACACACGCACTCACCGTCCCCTCCCCCCCCTCTCTTTCGCGCATACATACACGCAGATATGCATACCCAGAGAGCATGCACACACACGTACACACCCTCTCGTACACTGAGTACGATATTACGAAGAGGGTTGCTGTACACGTATCTAGCCTGCACGGATCGGCGGTGCCGCCCCTTCCCAAGGAAAACGGGCTGGGAGACTGAAAGCCACCCAAAAGTTTAAGGTGAGGGAAAACATGGGAAGAGGGTGCCATAAACGGGCTCCTGGGAATGGCGAACCACATATGGCAGGTTGCTGGGCGGCCGCAGAAGAACAAGACAGAAGTAGCGCAGAAGAACGAGGGTGGTTACGTTACCACATAGGTGGGCAAGCAGCAACGGATGAACACAGGCAACGCACAACACGTATACGCAACACCCGCAGCACGGCACAAGCAGGAGACCACGGGACACTGCCGTATACTGTTTTCCTCGTCCTCAGGTACACACTAATGTAAGGTCTATCTGTCACCGGTAGATCAGTCGCGCGTAACCCACCGAGCCCGCTCCGCCAGGCTGAGTTAGTGCAGAATTCAACCTTGGTTGTCCTTCTGTCCGTCCCCCCCAGAACGCTTTTCGTTTTTTCCCCTTCCTATCAAGTGCTAAGGGTACCATAGCAAGTGACGGTTGTAATAGCATCATCCATCTGCCGTAGTGTTACGTATTGTGTTTCTCATACACACTCTATCCAGACTAGTTTCATGTACTGGACTTTTCTCCTCATCACGCAAGACCCAACCCAGGGGGAAGAGGCAGTCATGAGGCTGATCCCATCCAGACTTTTCCCGCGAGCCACAATAACGCTCCGGACAGATTAAATCCCAGGCGCCAGGTAGCTAGATACAGTACGAAACGCACATACCTGCGCACGGAGAAGGTTTTTTTTTTCTTCCCCTCTTAGTAGAGCATTGGCAATGGAGAGAATAGATGGGGTGGATTATATTCCATATACGTTCCAGACCTCAGCTGGAACGTGCATGTAGGTAGTTATGTATGGACTGCGCGCGCGTGCCGTTTCCAGATCGGCTTTTATGCATTGACCCTGGCCCTGGCTGCGTCCGCAGAGCGAGTCTGTTCATTTTCTGTTCAAGTATACCTACCTACAGTACCTCTCCGTTGCATATGGACTGTACTATTTATCTCAAGATCTTAAGTAACAAGCCATTCTTCGGTTTCCTATCAACAAAGGGGTGGAATAGGTGTACACTGAGATGGCTAGCGTAAACTACCAACTTATTGAGCAAGCATAAGCAAAGAATGAAAGAAAGAAAGGAGGGTAACAGAGATGATAGATCATACCGGTAGATGATCTTGCATATTTAACGCGGCACAGCCTCCTCCGGAGATTTATTTGTCGATATCGGACCGGGGAATAGCAAGGGTTGAACACAAGTATAATTATATACTAAGTCACATACAGCGTTGCAACGGAATCCTGCGGCGACGGTGGAATGAAATACCAATACCCTCATCTCGACAACGGTTCACTTGTGTACCTGCTGTTCTGCGCCGTCTATAACAGCCGTTAAGCTAGAAGTACGTCGTAGTACGAATTCTTTGATTGGGAGTGGGCTACCCACCCCTTAGCTTGATGGTCCGTCGTTCAGGTAAGGGTATATAAATGGGTCCCCGAGGAATCCTTGCGCAGCTCAGGGGGGCCCGTGGATCTGGCAGGTCAGTCCCGGCAAATGTCTGTCTGGACCTTGGTTCCCTGGAACGACCGCCGAAGGTGGAAATTGAGAAGTGATCAACGGCAGGGAATATGGCGACAGAATCTTAGTCCACCCCTCATCCTAGCCAGCACCGCGCAGATGGGTCACAATACCTATATGTCTACGTGTAGCCCCGTGTACATGGCTCTGGGCGATGGTTGGGCACTTGCCCCGATGCTGGTGCTGTATCTCTCCGGTTCCATCGATCGAGTCTTCTGTCGCACCTAACCAGCCATTACCATTAATCCGTTCCCCCATCCATGGAGCTGGGTTCGATCATTGTACGTCAGCCCTTCTGCCAGAATCAATATAACAGCCTTACGGCAGAACCATATGGTTTTTTTTTGTTGTTTCTTGACCCAAGGGACCTCCATGTTTCCCCGATTTAACATGGGGAAATGATTTATGCGTATAAAATAGAGACGGCAGGCAATATTGTAGGCTCGCGTCTTTGCCTTCTAGTGACGCAAGCGCAGCACTGTACGCTTTACGTCCACCTGCTCTAGTTTTCATTGAGGTGTCATCGGGCTATGATCTGGCCAGTAATACTATGTCACTGGTTTCGGTATTGTAGAAATCCCTTTCAGGAAAGCGAATACTACTATGTATGTCATACTGTAGCTGGGTAGACCAAATGGGTAAAAGATGAGAGGCAAAAAACCGAACCAGGTTGGTAACAGTACGTCTGCCAGAGATGCACTAATGATCCTTATGGGAGACGATTTGGCGCTACGTAGGTCAGTGTTACCGCTTACGTCGTGGCCTTGACGTATGGTGCAGCAAGTCTAAACAAAAGACGGCCTAATAGAGCCGTCCAAGATGGACAGGTTGTCCCGAATGGGCAAAGTGCGCTCCTTCGAATACAATTCGTCACCTTGTGAGGTCTGCGCGTAGGGAGGGCAGCAATAGTAGGTACTCTCATTGTACATGATATGTTGTGCCTAATAACAGCGGAGCCAGTCAGAGAGAGAGTGCGTGTCTTGTACATAGTAGTGATACAAATGCCGTTGGTTCTGACTGGTCTCCCGATCCGAGCGGAAATGAAGCTATACTCAATATCATGCGCACTATTGCTCCGGGGTCGCTCCTTTGAGTAGAAGATGCTTGAATTGTCGACTTGAGACCACACTAAGACGTTTTCTTGTCGAAACACGGCATGGGTTGAGGTCGATCATGGCACATTTTTCTTCGAGTGGGCAGCTGAACTGCTGGCTTTGACGGGCGATCCTCGCTGATTGCCGTGGGCTTGGCAATAGACCCGCAGCAGTCTTCAGACGCAGCTCCGTGGAAGCCGGGGCGTGCCGGGGCGTAGGAGGACAGGAAGGTGGTGTGAAAGAAGCGGTTTCTGATTGAGTAAGCCATGCGCAACAATATCGGTGATAAGGTCGAGTGCCAGCCTATAGTACCTTCGTTCAATCTATGCAGGCTGATCAAGTCCCTACCAGAAACAGTACGAAACGAACTGCACCGAGCCGCACCGTAATGGGACAGAGGATACCTAGGTAGGCATGTAGCACAGCCTTCACCTACACCATGCTCACGGTGCTGATCCTAATACTCCACTGTATATGTAGCACCTGAAGAAGCTCGTGGGTCACATGGCAGCTTGTCCTTATTAGGCGCCGTTATGGCCCAGCCGTGCTCCCAGTTCAACGGCGGCGAGGCGACGTGATTGAATATTTCCACACCGGGACAAAAGGCTAAAATAGCCTCTCTAAAATGGCGCCTCCAACTGCGGCATGGCGTCTGACTTGATGCCTGGGCTAAACCGGAAAAGAAGGAGATTGCGAGGCTCGCTAGACATACAGGGGTACACGAACGATGGGGATGAGCACGCACTTGGAACGCGATTCTAGAGCGGCTCTCGTCTTGTGCTTGTACATGTACGTGTCGTGATAGGCAGGATACGCCAGAGTCCGGATATATACACGTACCTAGTGATTCGGACGAGGTCGCAAGGTGTGGGCTTCGTTATCTGGATAGATAGGGGGCGGTAGTACTGTGTGGTGGTTGGTATACCGTATTGTAATGGCAAGAATACCTCCTACTATGAAGGGGTTCCCGGGAATAGCGATGGGGAATATATTCTACCACGTCGTCAGAAGGTCAAAGACAGCGCGGCAATGCCTACCTACCTAGGTACCTACATAGTAGTATACTTCGTAGAGGGATAGAGGGGGTGTGGTTATCGGGTCTGAGAGGCGCCAAGGGTCGCGATGAATACCCATCGCAAGTATGTATACAGTACTGTGCGTGTGCGTGTGCGTGTGCGTTGGCGAACATCGATGTTGAACTGCTGTCCCGACAGACTGGGATGACTCGCGCAAGGAATACCGTTGTGCACGGCAAGTGCGGCGCGGATCACAATCCTGTTGGCTGACATCGTTGAACATGGCGAGCATGGCCAGCATCGTGCAGCACTAGGTATGTAATCGTGGAGCCCTAGCGCCGCCGATCTGGACTGGGGTGTATCCCGGCTCGCACGAATCAATAGCCTTGTTGTCCAGATTATGGTCGCCGACCTCGAATCTGCACTACTACCTACCCTGCCGCCCAACCCTCCTCTCGCCTCTGACCCTCCAAACGCATCGTCAGCAGCACACTGAACCGAAGAAGTCCCCAGTCCCTACAGCACTTACATAGTACATACACAGTAGTACATGTAAAAGTTCATCCATCATCGTCATCATCGTCATCGTCGTCATCCGCGTGGATGTGTGTGTGTTTGTGTGTCGAGGCCAAGTATGCTGCGGGACAGGTAATCAAACCAAGACGTCCCGTCGTTCCCATACCCACGATTATACTTATGTACTGTAATTCAGACACTAGGTACTTTGTATGCAAGATCCGCCACGAGATTCTGCCCGTCAAGGTTACCCCTTCCTCTCAATCTGATATGCTCCGCGTGGGGGGTGCTTGAAAACCATGACAGCTGAAGAAAGACTCGGCGGGTACCTAGTAGGCGAGGTAGGCTACAGAATGCAGAAGTACTTAACTAAATTACCGTACTAGTCAAACAAAGGTCAAACGCGATCGTCCGTTCACCGCCACAGCTCAAGCAACGGGACCATCCGAAAGACCGTTTCCACCCCTAGGTACGTTACCTTACTTATAGTACATCTACATGTACTCGCCCGTGCGACCACGCAGGTGTACCTATGTGTATATCATTATCGTGTATGCATGTACTAAGATGATAGTCTAGCCAAGGTACATGAGCACATGTTGTCGTATAGGTATACTGTATTGCACCGTGATACCGGACGGTGATGGAGTGATGCTGTACCTACCACATAGGAAGAGAGGTTACAGGGTGAAGCGAGAGAATAGAGAGAGGCTAGAGGGGGGGGGGGGGGGGGGGGGGTTTTAAAAAAAAAAATTAAAGGGAAAAAATACGGGCGGTGTGGCGTAAATTAAATTTAAGGTTTTTGGTGATAAAAAAATTAA